GCCCCATTACATGCCTTGAAAAGACCTTTTTGATCTTGAGTGAACTGAAACAAGTGTTGATTGGAAAATAAGGGCAAACCTATGGGTGAAGTCATGCACGTGTTCATCTTTGTGAGTGCGAGAGTTGCATATGATTTCGAAACTATAAATTGTTGAACCATTGTGTGTGAATATGGAATCATCTTTGTGTGAGGGCATTTGAGTACCATTGTTGAGCTTGAACTTGCATTTGAAGCAAGTAATTGTGAACTTGAGAATCGTTGGTAATGGTGAGTCACAACTTGAACCATTTAGTGCACAATTGATCCTTGCATGAGTAAGTTGAATCTTGTTGTGTGCATTCATGATTGAGTCTTGTGTAGCACTGTTTGAGACATCCTTTTTGAACCGCTGAACTTGAGTTTTACTTAAGGACAAGCAAAAGTTTAAGTTGGGGGTGTTGATGAGTCAGAGTTTTGGACTCATTTAGGGCTTTATTTATCATGATTTAGTGTCCTCAAATGCTTGTTTTGTGCAAATTACTGATGTAAAACCCTTGATTACCAGGTATATAGATTGAGGAACAATGCAAGGACACTAATTTGCAAAATGGAATGAAGCAAGCTAAAAAAGTGAAGAAAAGGGAACCTGGTGATCTCCTAGTCCACTTGGCAAGTCACCGAACGACCTCTTGACCGCCTAAAGTTCCAGTGTGCCAAACCCTGAAGGAGAAAATCAAGTTGGCGAGAGAAAGGAGTAGTCAGTGGATCACCGAGTGGTTCCGCGATGCAGTGTTAGATCGCCCAAAGTTACAGACCTAAAGGATGCTGAAGGCCAAGGCAAAAAGGCGATAGAATTGACCAAAGGGCGGATCACCGAGTCGATCGGCGAGCCCGACTTATTGCGCCGAATGGACCTTTGCAACATATTTTTGGCGACTATAAATACGTTTTTGAACATTTAATTTAGTATCTAATATAGTTTTTTATCATTTTTAAGTATCATACTTTGAATATATCGAATTCTGAGTATTGAGACAAGTTTTTCCCTTAGCTTTAAAGAATTGAAGTTTTTCACTTTTGAGAAATTGGAAGTGGGTCGTTGAGATTATTCAATTTAAACCTTTGTAAAGACGAAATCAATCTTTCCCAGTTGATGGAAACTCAGTTTGGTAACGATTTTATCTTTTTATGATGTCTAGCTAAAACCCCAATTCTTGGGGTGTGATTATGTGATTATGGGCTGATTTAGTTTATGGGTATTGCTAATTGTTAGTTTAAATGTTGTTTAGAAGTGATTTCAATCAGTAATTGTGGTTTAATTTAAAGAATTGTAGTTGGAAATGCAGTTCTACCTTTGTGATTTTGGCTTGCTCGAGAGAGAGGTTTTAAAACCAAGATTATTGATTGATAGTCTATGGGTATTGGATCCACTCGAGAGAGTGAATCCTAAACCATTTTCCACACATTCAGCTTGAGAGAGTGCATGGACTAAGGCATAGGTTGTTCGTATATTGCATGTTTGTCGATGTTCGAGAAAAATCGACTTGATTCGGGGTAAATTATTCGAGAGAAAGTTTATCCCCTCTATAGTCTAGCTTATTCACTAATATTCAGCTATTTCCTAACAAGTTCAATTACCCATTTGTCTACATTAGCCTATAATCGAATCACATCCCAAGAACCCGTATCATTATTATTATTCTGTATTATTTGCTAATGTGGTAGTTGATAATTGAAACCAAAACCCCCTTATTTGACATTCGTGTCACCTCCTGATTTGAATTATGTTTTTATTCGTCAATGTCTATTCCTATGACTGACTTGATCGTATTCATACTTCCTATTGAATCTTAAACACGTACCACTCCCTGTGGGATTCGACCCCAACTCATTTAGTTGGGTTATATACTGATTAGCGATCTTTGACACTTAAAATTGGATGAAGTGTCCTTGAAACGTTAAAATCAAACATCGCAGCTCGACCCAACTCATGACACACTCGTCATTCAACTCAAGTGTTTATTTCTCACATATACATTATTTTTGAAGTAGTGTTTTACTCATTGTCCATTCACTAGAAAAGTGAAGCTCTTGTCCTTATAGCTTCACAGCCCAGTCATTCACACCACCTCGAATGGCCCACTCCACTTTGACTAAAGTTTTTCAGGGAATAACTTCAACCTTGAACTAAACAGCAACACCATCTAGCCTGGCTCAAAGGTGTGTGGGATGATATGCTTGTCATGCCACTTCTTCGTCTTCTCTTTATATAAATTGGCATTTTCATAGGCGTGGAGTTTGAATTCCCCAAGCACATACAACTAACCTATTCTCTTTTTGCTAGCCGATTCAGGATCGAGATTCAACTTTTTTATGGACTAATAGGCTTGGTGCTCTAATTCCGTCAGAAGATGGCATGTTTTTCAGAATACCATACAACATGGAGAAGTCCCTATTAGTGTCTTATACGCAGTTCTGGATTTCCACAATGCATCATCTAACTTTCCAGCCCAATCCTTTCATTGTGCATTACCTACAAAGTTTACAGCATCCGGGTTTTCCCCACAATAATTTGCAATATAATCATTGTTGAGCCCAAAAGCACACGCAAGTGCACATGGTCACTCAAGTAGTACAACGACTCTTTCGAGCCGGATTATCGAACCCAAAGGACTCCAAATCAACAAATAACAATTCTCTTATGTCTAAACTAAATTTACTCGGGTGACAAGTAATTTTAGAAATTCGTTTATAACTACTAATTAGACACTATCAAAAATTAATTATTTTAATTAAAAGGTTTCAAACAAGAAAATTTCACAATTCGAAAAGGTGCTCCAGGGTTGTAGCATAGATCGATCTCTGGTATAATATTGATTTATACTAGTATTCGACGGGTTAACCTCATTATGGATTCGCAAGGTTCATTTTATAATCATGATCTCCCGACCTCTAATCGCCTACCCCCATTGACAGCCTAACTACATCGTTGAGCGGGGTTAGGCATGAACCAATGACGCAACATTAAGCATTCATCTTGCATATTAACCAAGCATGGTATATAAGTATAAGACTATCCTATATACAAAACATTCTAGACTTTACCCTAGAATGAACACACTTCCCATATGCTTTGGTCTATCCCTCTATTCATCTTCCGAGTTCAAGAGCAGACAATGAGTTTCTTTTAATGTTGATCATGCATTAAAATAGTTAAACAAGAATGCAAGCACAAATCATAAGATAACCCTACTCATACTAGAAACAAATTGTATTTAACCATTAACCGTAGCTACAACCCTAGAATAAGGGACTTTAGCTACTCATAACACAAAATATTCTCAAATAATGTTTGAGGATCATACAAGGGTTTTCCAAAATGAAAGAGTAGAAGAAGAACCCTAGAAGGTATTAGCCAAATCACCCAAAATACTGTGCTCCCATCTTTTTTAAAATTGATAATGATACAAATAACACACTTAAACTATTTAACCCTCGCCTATAGTTGCACACAGATGAAACCTCTCCGCGACGCGCTCCCATCACGCACTCCACTGTTAAGTGGAATTCCTTTTCTACACACACATATTAGCTCTGTGACGCGGAGATACTCCCTCATAGTGTATTCTCTAGCTTCTTAGCCCTTTTTCTCCGCAACTGCATCTTCTATTTTCCGACCTTTGACCAGGTGCCCTATTTTGGCTTGTTCTTCTTTGCTTTTCACCCTGAAACATCTACTCATATTGGTTAGAAGAAGCGATATCAAAAGACTCTCAAAACTTAATTCCGACAATGAAAAATGCTCTCAACTTAGCTATATATATGGGATAAATTGGCTATTAGGCGCATAAATACGCCCAAGATCACCACCCCACTAGTGTTTTGTTTGCATAATATATTGAGTGAAAAACCTTCTCTTTCCTTTCCCCAACACGGCTCCCACTGTCATATCACTTGCATCACATATCAGCTCAAAAAGAAGCACCCAATTTGGGGAAGTTAGGATTGGAGCTTTTATCAGCTTCTTCTTCAAAGCTTCAAAAGCTTGCATGCATTGCTCATCAAATACAAATTTCATCTCCTTCTCTAGGAGACTGCACATGGGTCTTGCAATCTTAGAGAAATCTTTGATGAATCTCCTGTAGAAACCAGCATGATCCAAAAAAACTTTGCACCCCTTTAACATAAATTTGGGGAGGTAGCTTTTCAATTACTTCAACTTTGGCACGATCAACTTCCAGCCCTCTCTTTGACACCTTATGGCCCAACACAATCCTTTCCTTCACTAGGAAATGACATCTTTCCCAGTTTAGGACAATATTAGTTTCCTTGTATCTAGCCAGCACCCTGTCTAAATTCTCCAAGCACCTGTCAAAAGACTCCCCAAATACCGAGAAGTCATCCATGAATATTTCCACAAAATCTTCAACCATATCATGAAAGATAGCCATCATGCATCTTTGAAAGGTGGCTGGAGCATTGCATAGCCCAAACAACATTCTTTTGAAAGCATATGTCCCATACGGGCAAGTGAATGTAGTTTTCTCTTGGTCCTCTGGTGCAATCACAATTTGGTTGTATTCTGAATAGCCATCCAAGAAACAATAATATTTTTGTCCAGCCAACCTGTCCAGCATTTGATCAATAAAAGGAACCGGGTAGTGATCCTTTCTGGTGGCTTCATTCAATTTTCTGTAATTCATGAACATTCGCCATCCTGGCATTGTCCTAGTTGGAATCAACTCATTTTTTCATTGGTAATCACCGTCATGCCTTTTTTTTTAGGCACACACTGAACTAGGCTGACCCACTTGCTGTCCGAAATTGGATAGACAATACTCGCATCTAGCCATTTGATTACCTCCTTGCGCACCACATCTTTCATCACTGGGTTTAGCCTGCGCTGCGGTTGCACATTTGACTTGTGCCCTTCCTCCATGAATATTCTGTGCATGCATAAAGTTGGGTTGATGCCATGTATGTCCGCCATCTGCCAGCCTATCTCCCTTTTTCTCTTCCTCAATATTTCAGAGATGCCTCAACCTGCAATTCAAACAAAGCAGAAGAAAGGATTACAGGTAAAGATTTATTGGCACCTAAGAATGCATAACTGAGATGAGAAAGGAGAGCCTTTAACTCTAACTTTGGTGCTTCTTCAATCGACGACTTGGGAGGTGGTCCCAGGACTCTGTTTAATGGCTCCACAAACTTGCAAAACATACTCACATTTGGGAAACTTAGGACGTTAGCCAACTCCTGGGTTTCAACATCTCCCTAAACGTCTTGCTTAATTAACACTTTCTCTAAAGGGTCTTGGGCTTCAACATATTTAGATGTCATTGCCTCATCAATGACTGCAATTGCAGACAGCTCCTCATATATTGCAGGCAACTTCATTGCCTTGTAAACATCAAATACCTCGACCTTGTCACGAGCCCTCATTGTTAGTCTACCGGCTGCCATATCAATTAATGCAACTCCGGTTGCTAGAAATGGGCGACCCAAAATAAATGGGACCTCTGGGTCAGGTTCAAAATCCAAAATGACAAAGTCCACGGGGAAAATCAGAGTTCCCACTTGAACCAAGACATCTTCAATAACGCCATATGGCCTTGACACTGAACGGTCCGCTAACTGCAACATAATAGTTGTGGACTTTGGTCTTCCTAGTCCTAATTTGAGAAATATGGAAGTAGGCATCAAATTGATACTCGCGCCCAAATCGCACAAACCTCTTGCCTTAACACATTTGCCAATTTTTATCTGAACAGTGAAACTCCCTGGATCTTTCAACTTAGTTGGGATCCTATTCTGGATCCTAGAACTGCACTCCTCCGTGAGTGCTACTGTTGCATACTTAGTTAATCTACTCTTGTTAGCTACCACATCTTTCACATATTTGGCATACTTAGGAATGCCCTGCAACACATCAATCAAAGGAAAGTTAACATGTACCTATTTGAGTAATTCAATAAACTTACCAAAACATTCCTCTTTCTTTTGTTTTTTGAATTTCTGTGGGAATGGGGGAGGTGGTTTTGCTTTTGGTTCCTAATTTACCCTTTGTTCACTTGGTTCTACTTCATCTACATGTTTTCCTTTTTCTTTAGAACCTTTTGCCTTTGCCGTCAACTCCTCCAATGGACGACCACTCAGAGTATTCACAACATTTACCTACTTCGAGTTCGGGTCAGTATTTCCCGTCAAACCCCCTTGTGGTCGGGAATTTTGGGCACTAGCAAACTGCCCAAACTACTTCTCCCAATTTTGAGTCGCCAATTGATTGTTTCGAACATCTGCTACCAATTTAGCTTGATCCGCCATGATTTGTTTTAGCATGTCCTCCATACTCATATCACCTTGCTTGACAGCCTGCTGGTTACCATGGTTTTGTTGATGGTATTGTTGTCCACTACTATGTGGTTTGTATTGGTTTTGTCCTTGATGTTGGTTTTGATTGCCACCCCATGAAAAGTTTAGGTGGTTCCGCCAGCTCGGGTTGTAGGTATTTCCATAACTCTGGTGATTTCCTCCTCGTTGAGCATTACCTACAAAATGAATAGATTATGGGTTTGCTCCACATACCTCAGCACTGTGATCTCCGCTTCCATATACTTCACACCAAGCTTGTGGTTGATGTACCATATTAACTTGGGTTGGTTGTTGTCATAGCGACATGTTACTAAAATGAGTAGTCATCATATTCTGCATTGCTGCGATCTGTGCCGACATAGCTATCACTTTATCCATTTCCAACACTCAAACAATCTTCTGTACAACCAATTTAGCTCCTCCGCCATTCCACTCGGGGTTACCCTGTGAAATTCTATCAAGCAATGTAAACAACTCAGCATATATCTTCTCCAAAGCTTGTCCACCTGCAGCAGAATCAAGTAAAATTTTTGTGTTTGGTTCCAACCCTTCAATAAAGGTATAGACCAACACTTTGTTAGCTTGATGGTGATGTGGACAACTTAACAGCAGGGACTTAAACCTATTCCAAACTTAATACACGTTTTCCCCTCCTTTCCGTCGGAAGCTTAATATGTCGCTTCTCAGCTTGGTTGTTTTACCGGATGGAAAAAACCTTATAAAAAACTTTCGGGAAAGATCACATCCCAAGTTGTTATGGAATTTGCGGGCTCAGAGTTCAGCCATCTCTTTGCTTCCCTAGCAGAGAAAAGGGGAATAATGTGAGACTCACATAATCAGAGTTCACTCCAGTTGGAGTGTATGTGTCACTGATCTCGAGGAAATTCTGATTATGCACTTGTGGGTCCTCATGAGACAGACCAGTGAACTGCCCGTTTGTGTGTAGTAGTTGCACCATGTTCTACTTCAATTCGAACCTCCCACCATGTGCAGGTTTCTGAATACTTGAGGTAACATTGGTGGTCTGTGGGATTGCCGCATCTCTCACTTTCATTTCTACCATCACTGCAGGTGGGTCTTGATCCTCCCTTTCTTCTGAAGTTTCTGGTTCACTAGCCACAAGAGGAACATGATAATTGAGTCTTTTTTGCCTTCTCTGGTAACGAACAAATCTGTCCGGTTCAGCTAGAGGCTCTACCAAGTCCTGGTCGTCTTCCAGTGTGAAAACCTGACACCACCTACGAAATGAAGAGCCAAGATCAAGTTGTCAAAACTTGTACAAATAATTAAGACACTCAAAAATTAGATATAAGCCGATTTTAAAGTCCCCGGCAGTGGCGCCAAAAACTTGTTGCGCCCAAAAGCACACGCGGGTGCATATGGTCACTCAAGTAGTACAACGACTCTTTCGAGCCAGATTATCGAACCCAAAGGACTCCAAATCAACAAATAATAATTCTCTTATGTCTAAACTAAATTTACTCGGGTGACAAATAATTTTAGAAATTCGTTTATAACTACTAATTAGACACTATCAAAAATTAATTACTTTAATTAAAAGGTGTCAAACAAGAAAATCTTACAATTCGAAAAGGTGCTCTAGGGTTGTAGCATAGATCGATCTCTTGTATATTATTGATTTATACTAGTATTCAACAGGTTAACCTCGTTATGGATTCGCAAGGTTCATTTTACGATCATGATCTCCCGACCTCTAATCGCCTACATCTATTGACAGGCTAACTACATGTTGAGCGGGGTTAGGCATGAACCAATGACTAAACACTAAGCATTCATCTTGCATATTAACCAAGCGTGGTATATAAGTATAAGACTATCCTATGTACGAAACATTCTACATTTACCGTAGAATGAACACACTTCCCACATTCTTTGGTCTATCCTCTATTCATCTTCCGCGTTCAAGAGCAGAAAATGAGTTTATTTTAATGTTGATCATGCATTAAAATAGTTAAACAAGAATGCAAGCACAAATCATAAGATAACCCTACTCATACTTGAAACAAATTGTATTAAACCATTAACCATAGCTACAACCCTAGAATAAGCGACTTTAGCTACTCATAACACAATATATTCTCAAATAATGTTCGAGGATCATACAAGGGCTTACTAAAATGAAAGAGTAGAAGAAGAACCCTAGAAGGTATTAGCCAAATCGCCCAAAATACTGTTCTCCCATCTTTTTAAAAATTGATAATGATAAAAATAACACATTTAAACTATTTATAGTCTAAAATAAAACATGTGGCCAGTTTTTGGTGTCCAGGTCCGAGTCGCGGACCTGTTCCCTCGCCTATACTTGTACACAGATGAAACCTCTCCGCGACGTGCTCCCATCGCGCACTCCACTGTTAAGTGGAATTTCTTTTCTGCACACACGTATTAGCTCCGCGACGCGAAGATGTTCCTCTTGTAGTGTATTCTCTAGCTTCTTGGCCCTTTTTATGCGCAACTTCGTCTTCTATTTTCCGACCTCTGACTAGGTGCCCTATTTTGGCTCATTCTTCTTTGCTTTTCACCCTAAAACATCTACTCATATTGGTTAGAAGAAGCGACATCAAAAGACTCTCAAAACTTAATTCTGACAACAATAAATGCTCTCAACTTAGCTATATATATGGGATAAATTGGTTATTAAGTGCATAAATACGCCCAAGATCAATCACCACTTCCACATATTTCGCACCATGTTTGTGGTTGTATTACCAGATTTGTCTGGGCAGGCTATTGTCCCAATGAAAAATTGTTGAATTGGATGTTCATCATATTCTACATTGCAGTAATTTGTGCAGTCAAAATTGTAAATGCATCGACTTCTAATATCCCATCAGTCTTTTTCACCACAAGTTTAGCTCCTCATCCATTTCATTCAGGATTTCCTTTTGAGATTCTATTGAGCATTGTGAACAATTTAGCATAATTCTTCTCCAAATCTTGTCTTCCCGCAATTGAATCAAGAAAAAACACGGTGTTTGGTCCTTGGTCCCAAACCCTCAATGAAGGTGTGGACCAAGACTTTATTTGCTTGATGATGGTGAGGACAACCTTATCGTAGTGATTTGAATATGTCACATGCATTATATGAATTCTCCCATCCTTTCTGCCTAAAACACAGTATCTCGCTACTAAGCTTGGTTGTTTTCCGAGCTGGAAAGAACCTTATCAAAAAAATTCGCACAAGATCATCCCATGAAGTAATAGAGTTTGTTGTTTCAGATTTCAACCATACTCTTGCTTTCCCTAATAGAGGGAAAGGGAACAACGTGACTCTCACATAATCTAGATTTACTCCAGTTAGAGTGTATATGTCACTGATTTTGAGGAAGTTCTGAATGTGCACTTGTGGGTCCTCATGATATTAGTCGGTAAATTTTCTATTAGTGTGCAATAGTTGCACCATACTCTGCTTCAATTCAAACCTACCACCAGCTGGTGGTTTCTGAATACTCAGAGTAATATTAGTTATGCATGGGATTTCAACGTCTCGAACAGTCATCCCTGGCATTGCTACAGGTGCAACTGGTTCAACCTTTACTACTGGTGTTACTAGTTCGCTACCAACTTGAGCAACATGCTAGGTTAGTCGTACTTTATTTCTCGGGTAATGAACAAATTTTTCCAGTTCAACAAGTATCTCTACCATTTCCCGTCCATTTTCCAGCTTGAAGTTTAAACACAACCTGAAATACAATAGCTAAGATCAAGTTATCAACACTTGAAAAATAAATTTAGAAATTAGTTGAATTAAATAATTCCTAATTGTAAAGTCCCCGGCACCAGTGCAAAAAACTTGTTGCACCGAAACGAACACGTGATGTTTGCGTAATCAAGACATAACTTCTGATGCAAGTGTCTATGTTCGTACAAAAGTTTAGTAACCCAACCAAGGGTTGGTATCGTTCCCAAGAGAGTGGTTTTGAGAATTAATAGAAAAATAAAACTTAGTTCTAACTAGTAGTAGCTAAATACATTAACGAGTAAAAATATTGTAAATTAAAGGGGGACACAAGAGTGTCAATTAACAATGGGGAGTTTTGTCACAAGTAAGGTAAAAATATCAAAATAAACAAGGGTTTCTAAGTAATGAGAGGGGATCCTTGGGATGTGATGGGAATACAGATTACGCTAGATTATTGGGTACATGCTTTCGATAGAAGATTCATAGAGTAATTGTGACTAGGCTAGACTTTAATGGAGATAAGCTATCTCTCGAGCAACTTACCCCGTTTCAAATGCGTTCCTCTCGGACACCCACTTGCCGCGTAAAGACTAGCCTACGCCTTAACCCACTCACTCTCTCGAGTTGAGTGTGTGGACATGGGACTAGGGTTCACTCTCTCGAGCTGAACCTCATGTCGACCCACTCACACTGGCCATCAATT